AAAAAAAACTGACTTTGCACTCCCAAGGACAAGCGAGCATGTGAACTCCCCCTGAATTTTCAAGGTTGAACATGTGAACTATGCCTGAATCTTTGATGCGCATGAGCAGAATCAAAAGGTCACTAAGGGAATCAATTGCAAAGCGATAAAAAGTGTGAAAAGTTACCTATGTGAATTTGGAGGCGAGACAAATGTATATAGGAAAAGTTGTTGTAGAAAATCAGAAGAAACCAAGTTAGAATTTTATGGAATTTCTGAAATTAGAAACCAAGTTAGAATTTTATGAAGTTAGAAACAACGAAGATATTGGAGGAATCATTGTTTGCTTCGGAGATTAAGTTGTGAGGATAAGAATAATGGGTTGTTGACTTACAGCTACCAGAGAAGGAGCAAAAGCAACAATGTCGCCAAAAATTCCATAAATTTTGGTAAACATTACGTTTGTTTTCTTCGAAGAGAATAAAGGGGAAAAGGGTCGCAGATGTTTCATGTGCAAATGAATTGATAGGCGGAGACAGAAGAGATTTTCAATTCGCCGGAGAGCGAAAGACTGTGAGTGGAGTTGCAGAGATGTCAATTTGGGATAAGGATTTCTAGTGACCGGAAACGATAAAGGAATTGTCGTGGTTGAGAGAGAGAGTAAGGAGAAGTGAATTGGGCCAAAGGTGGAAGATATGCTACATGGGCTTTGACTTAATATTTCATTAAGGCAAGATGGACCAATAAAAGCTAAGAGCCCATATCATGGTTTCACAATCAAAGAAAGAGAAGGGGATCTATCTACAAAGGTCTGGTCATCTGCTGCAGTTTTTAAACAACATAGTGAAAGGTTTTAAACTCAATTTGATTTTTTCAAACATCTTTAAAAAAAACTGATTTTGCACTCCTAAGGACAAACGAGCATGAACTCCCCATAAACATGTGAACTCCCCCTTAATTTCAGGGTTGAACATGTTAATTATGCTTGAATCTTTGATCGCATGAAATAACTCCCCCTGCTTGGAAGCATAATTGAGTTTAAAACCTTTCACTGTGTTTCTTTAAAAACTGCAGCAGATGACCCGACCTTTGTAGATAGATCCCCTTTCCTTTCTTTGATTGTGAAATCATGATATGGGCTCTTAGCTTTTATTGGTCCATCTTGCCTTAATGAAATATTAATCCAAAGCCCATGTACCATATCTTCCACCTTTGGTCCAATTCACTTCTCCTTTAGGGAGTTCACATGCTTGTTTGTCTTTAGGAGTGTAAAATTAGTTTTTTTAAAAAGGTGCTTGGATATCATTAAATATAAAAAATATAAATGAACATTTATTGTAAATTTTAATGTAACATTTGTTGTTTTGATGATGGGTACACCCTAGATGAAGAGAAAACTCTCTAAT